CTCTCTCCTAGGTTTAAATGGTAGAACAGTCGATATATTGCAAAGCACGCCACGCCTCTGAGAAACAGTAAATTTAAACTAATAAAAATGTTTTTTTTCAACATGGGCCAGAAGGTGGAAATTGACCATTTTCTAGTATTCTAGTTCTTTAATGATCCTTAATAACTAATCCTAGATAAATCACTGGGGGAAGAAACCATGGTAGTATTACCGCGGTGGATTATGTCAACCCAGTGTTTTTTAAAAAACGATATCCGTATCATATTGGACTTAAAAGCTAGGCGTTACATGCTCGTTTTTTTTGCTGATCTAAGCTTCAACACTCAAAACATGATACTGTAACTAGCGCAACTGACCTATTGGTTAACATCATATTTTTCAAAAGACATCAATGAAAGCTTAGGTTTAAAACAGTTTTGTCTGGTTTTCTAACTTTAGATTCCAATTTTTTTTAGGACAATGCAATAGGTTTTCCAATTCCTTTTCAAATCTTCCGCAGTTTTTCAACTACTAGTCTGCTTTTAGGTGGCTCTTTTAACACATGAATAGTTTGTATCTTCAATAAACTCTGATAATATTCGAACATAGTGAATATTATATCAAGAAATATACCCAAACGATTATTATTTTTTTTTTTTTGCAACAGATAGTAGTTCAACGAAGGCAAACTCACCTACTCAGAAAGCTTCAACTGCTAAGAAGTCATCAATAAAACCAACTTCGTCTTCCACTCCGAAACGCAATAGAAAACCTCTGGCAGAGAATAATGCGCAGAATTCACCTACAACTAGGTAAGTTATTTCATGTTTCATAATAGAAGAAGAGTAATCGATGAATAATCAGACAAGAAGCTTTTTAAGGGGGATGACAATTGGGCACACAAAGACAGGTATAAGCTGAAGCACACGTCCGCATGTTTCATCTTCAAAATGTTATTCAAAAAATGACTCGCACAAAGGAAAGTTGAAAAATCCAACTCCTGATGTTGACAAAAGCATTTATAATTATCTCAAGTCATATAGCAAAAGTACTGATATAGTCATTGGTATGATTTGTGTTCCATACCATTATTTCCAAATGTACTTGCTAAAATCTTGCTCAAGAGTTGATTTTGAATCTTCCCATGGTGTAAATCATTCTCCAAGTCATTTGAAATGAAAACTCTCAACGAGGTGCTTTAGTGCTTACTGTAGTGATACTACGTATCCTTAAAAAAAATATTTTATACGTCTCATATTATAATAACCTCCTCGCAAAAATTGTGAACATAGGCTTTTCTTTTTCTTTCACAGCAAACACAACCGCAGCCCTTTGAAGCATAGACGGAGCAACTCTTATCAATTCAAGAATTTTACTCCGGAGAACAAGGCCTCTCAAAGGTCATCCTCAGCATCTAGAGCTATCGGTGGCATTAAACCACCCACGCCGGTAAGAGACCCGACAAAATCACTCTAATTCACCGACAGTCACTCTGTACCACCGAATCGGCCGATACAAATTTCATTGCAATCTTTCAGAATTTTTCTAGTTTTATCTTTGTATTACACCTCCCATTATATAAATTTAATTGTATCAAGGCTGGGTTTGGGGCAAGATGAAGTGTTGATTTGCTTTAATAATGGTCCGGGGCAAATGAAATGTTTTCACTCTTGATATTTTTGAAGAATTATGCAACTAATGAGATAAGTAAGAATTGCATTTACATATCCCATGAGCATGATTGCAGGAGGAAGAAAACCTTGTAGGTTGTTTTTAAGTTTAATGACATTTTCAGTGGCCTCTGCATCAGGGTTTCCAGGGACCTGGAAATTCAGGGTATTTACACAGCGAAAGCCAGGAAATTATCAAGCAGCGTTTAGCTGAAGTCAGTGTAATTTAAAGAAGAAAAAAATCCAAGCAGAAGTTTAGGCCAAAGGTCAGGGAATCTGAATAATAGAGAAATTATGGAAACTCTGTGCATGCTACCAATTGCAGCTTGCCAACAGAGTGGATTTGCTCTATTAATATCGTCTACACTCCTATCAAGAGTGGCGGTAGCCACCCCCGNTATCTCAAAATCGGTTTTTTATTTATTTTTGGCAAGGGATTTATTTTTTTTTTGAACTTTTTGATGATTATTAGTCTTAGTGGACCTTGGGAATTCATCAAAGGTTTTTGCCTATCTTATACTTGATTAAAAGGAAGTGACACGTCAATTTCCTCGACCGGATTTTTTGCCCGAAAAATGTTTTTGAGGGTTTTTGTAGTCCTGCCATTACATTCATTTCTTAACAATATATGTCAAACATATTCTGTACCTTGGTCACATCCAAACATATGATGTCAATTTTAATTAATTGGATTTTGCATCTGTAGAGGTACTCTTTAATGAACAGCATCAAATTAACTACATTTTTACAACTAAGAACTACAATTTCCGGCTCATCTATTAAAACACTTAGGTCATAAGTAAACTAATGGTACCCTCATTGTTTCTAAACTGAGCCAGAGATTGATGTTCTTAATTGCAAAATTTAGTCCAAATTTTCCATTTGAATCATGATGATAAAATTTTTTTACAATGTTAAAAAACTCTCAGCCTTCATTTCCATGCCTCTTGCAAATCAATGTCCCGTTTTTGCTTTTGTATTCAGATCAGTAAATTACCTGGGCTCATTCAAGGATCCCCCAAAAGAACGAGAGAGGAATGCGGTTTCTCTCCAAAAAGCAGGATTGTAAGTTATTGTTGTTATCATTTTTTTTTTGTTTCTATAATTTTTTTTGCTTGTTTTTTAGCTAATGTCCTCGATTAAATTTTTTAATTGACATTTTACAAAGCCATTTGCAAATCAATATTTTCTGCTGCATGTATTTTGTGTTGCCACTGTTATTGTTCTTCTGTCAATGGTTTTTTCTTTGCAATTGAATTGCACTTGAAAAGATGAGAATTCAACTCAAATTTTCCACTCACTTTGTGTAATTTGAATTTTATTAAGCGTATTTTGAAAGGAGGAGAAAAGGGAGGGATGAGGTCTCAAGCTTCATCACCAGAAGGACATAAAGTACATTTTTCAGCTCTAATCGCTCATTTTCTTTTTTTTCCAGGCCACTCCTACATTTAAAGGAAGACTTAGCCTCTGTTCAGGAAAAGAAAATGTCAACCATGTCTAAGCTGCAAGGAGGCAAGTCCTTTTTTTTACCATTTGAAATTTTGGGACATTTTTTTTTTAACCAAAATGAATCAACTAGAGCGCTTTGTAATATCTCAATTCTCTGGTTGTTATTTTAAATTTTTTTGGCTGTTTTAGGATGGTATTAGTTTTTAATTTTTAGCTCTTATGCCAGGGGCCACGAGTGCCCTTTTTTCTGAGGAAAATAATTTTGTGGTTACTTACTTTTTACATAACTTTTTTATTGTCATGTTCTCATTTTTTTAAACTACATTTTAGCATGTTCGATATGTTTTTACTGTACTAAATTGCTCAATTAACACTGAAAAATTACAAGGATCCAGAAAATTTCTTACCTTTGTCTATATGAGATAAGCTATCAGATTTTTAAGGAGTGCACTGAAACAACAAGCTTTACGACTCACTTCACATAAATAATTGCAGCAAATTTCCTTTACACCAAAATTCTTGGGCGCTTAAAAACTTCACACATCTGAAACAACGCACTAAGCAATTTTTCTCACATAACTTTATGCGGGTAAGAGTTTCTGTCCCACTAAGTCTAGAGACCCTGTCCTCATCATTCTTTTTATAGATATTCCCCTTTTCAATGCCCTTCTTATCTAAAATTTTCTAAAAGTTGTCCTTTTTGTTAAATTTCCTCTTTTCTCTTCTCAGTGAAGAATTACCGATGCCCACTGGGCCTCTTATCAAAATTTTGTGAAAAGCACGCATTTTATTGCTTTTGCCTTCACATTTTTCTCACTGTTGGCTGGTCACTAGGTCGGAGAAGTTTCGGACCCTTGAAAAATTACATCTACTGTTTGATTTTGATAAAAGCACTAGAATTGCACAAAGCAGCTTTGTTTGGACTATAAATTGTGCAGTTTGAAAAGTCATTGTGCAAAAATGGCTCGTATATTTTTCATTGTTCTTAAGTAGCATTCAAAATCTTTTTGAGTAACTGGAAGTAAACAGGACAACTCTCTCAAGAATGTCTCAAGAGTAGATGATTAGGATGTTGTTTTTGTGGTTCTACATTGTTTTTAATTATTTAAGGTTTGATTAAAGTTCGCATGCCACTTTGTGTATTTCCTCATGAGAATACACGTATGTCCAATCAAAAAACACCATATTTTATATTTTAAGGTGTGCACATTCAATTTTAAAGACTGGGCTTTATCTCTCAAAACGTAGGTAATTAATTAATTCGTTAATTTGCTGTTAGAGTGCGTTACAGGCCTCTAAAAAAACTCATTATTAACACACATAACTTTCTTGCAGCGACATTTGCCGTGCCCTACATTGAAGGCGAATTAAAGATGAGAATTAAAATTACTCTGATACTCAAGTTACGACTAAGATCTGATCAAAGACATAAAGACGGAGCGCTCGTATCTAAAAGCACGGGGAAAAAGTGAAGCTAGGTTCGACGCTGCGCGCTTGTGTGAGTGTGTAAATGAGCGCGGGAATCCATGGCGGCAAACGGAAATTTGATTTGAACTTGTCCTCTTGATTTTTGCATATTTCTTCTTCGAAACGTATTTTAAATTCCTAAAACGAATATACTAAGAAAGTTCGGTCTGCGTCCTAACATAATACACCTACTTTTGCTCGGTAACAGGCAGTAATCTCAGATAAAGTTAGTTTTTCTTCTGCTTATGGTGGTTCTGCAGGTTCAAACAGGCCGTTACAGTTCTAGATCAACGTTACTCCCAAATGAAATTAATCGGTCGACGACGGACGGAAACTAACCTAGAGTTAAAAAAAATATGAGTTTGTACCTGGATTTGGGCAAAAATCAACCTGAAATACTTTGTTTCCGCAATTATTTTATTCAGTTCCCGCCCTACATTTGAATTCAAACTTGTCCCAATTTCGCCGCCAATCCTCTAGCCAATAGTAGAGGTGATTGAAAAGAAGCTCTAGAAGCTTCATTTTTTGCTTTTAGCCCTCCGTCTTTATGTCTTTGGATCTGATCCATCACTCAGTCTATATCTGGCTAAACATGAAGAACCAACGTATTATAATTTTCGTATTGTATTTCTAACAATATATTTCTCATTTTTAGTAGGTGATGTTGATTCTTGAAATGCATTAAAATGTTAGACCATCTGGCAACTATAGTGTTATTTGTTTACACAACACCAGCCTAACCTCAAAATATCATATGATAAGAGATAAGGTGATCGACCACCACTTGCAATGTAAAGTAATTTTAAACCTTTTTAACTATAATTTTTATCATTATCTCATCCTATTCTTGTAGCAATGACTCTTCTATTTACAGAAAAGCCTTTTCTCTTCTTTTATTGGATTTTTTATGTGGTGTTTCACTCTGTAATGTGTTTCCTCCTATAAAAGTTCTGTGTTTCTCTTCACTGCCCAGCTACTTACACTGCACCCTTCACTGTTAAATATTTAAATTTTAGTAATCAAAATATTCACTTTTAAGGCACTTGCTCATCAAATAGCTTCTTTGAACACCAATGAGTGAAAGTGTTTTTTGCGCAGAGTACCTTTTCTTTGTTTTATATGTGTACTTGGATCATAGATTTGATGCCATAAAACCTCCTCTGAAGTCTAGTGTCAGTTAATATTGTGCTTTTCATGCGCACTGCAATGGGTCTCAAATTTTACATTCTCATTTTCTATGTTTGATTCCAAGCCATTAGGTAGCTTTTAAGGTTTATAATTTTTTTTTAAAGTGCCTTCCATGTGGGTTTTCTTTTCTCACAATGCATATCCGAAAGCAACTAATTCCAAGAAATCTTAGCGATTTATTCTCTATCATCTTTCTCCTCATCATGATTCCACTGGTTTATTACTTCGAAATCTTTGTTGTTTTGCCCCAGTTGCATGACTGTTGTTTTTCTGTATGGTACATTCTCCATTTTGTGTTCGGAACGTTTACCCTGCTAAATGTAGTCAGTAATTATGTAGCAACAATAGTAATTGATACCAGTGTCAAAAATAACATTGTGTCATCTTCTCATCCTGATGATGAGCTTTGTTCTGTTTGTAGAATTCCAGTTCCGCCAAGATCATGGCATTGTAGGCGGTGTGATGATTGCATTCTGAAACAAGACCATCATTGTATTTTTGTTGGTACTTGTATCGGGCATTTTAATCACCGGTACTTTATTTGGCTTTTATTTTTTATGTTCATCATGACAGTACACGGTTCATACTTGAATGTTTTCTATGTCAAGGAAAATTTTCACTGTAGTCCATTTCTTTTTATGAAAGTTTTATTTCCTGTTTTATTTCTTATATTTGGTTTTGATGAGCGAGTGAATCATAGTGCTCTGATCTTGATTGTTACAAATTTTGTTGGAATGATAGTCACTGGGCTTCTCCTTTGGTACCACTGCAAGTTAATTCTTCAGGGAACCACATGCCATGAAAATAGAAGAAAAGATTTCTCTTACCATGCCAGTCCTAAAGAAAATATTAAAAGGGTTTTAGGTGAACGTTGGCATTTGACATGGATCTCCGCCTTCATTTCATCAAAATTACCAGAAAGAGGAGATTTATGGAAACTAAATGCTATCCAAGACACTCAAAAACTGTTGTGATACAAGTATCTTTGAATTTTTAATCAGCTCTGCTCACTTTCATATTCAAAGTTGTGAAATTGCTCGTTTTTAATATGGACCTTTTCCAACCACCAATTTCCCTCAAGCGGAAGGTAATCTTTGTTTTTTGTTATATTACTTCCAGAAAATTTGATGCACCAATGACAGCAGTTGTGATAATTTTATTGTAAAATAATTTGTTTCTCTTCTCACATGATTAAGAAATTCAGCAATGCAATTTTGTTATTTAAATTAAATCATTGTTTTTAATTTATTTTGATGCCTATAAAAGTTATATATTTACCAAAATGCATTCCAAATAAAAACATTCTCAATTTGATCCTATTTTTTTCTATTTCAATCATTTCTTTGTATTCTCTACGGGGAAGACGAAAAAAAAAAAAATTCTTACCATTTTTCAGCATTATCAATGTGTATTTTGTTAAAATGCCACACTTTTATATGCACTGTTTTGATGGAGGTAGCCCTTACTTTTTATTGTCACCAGATAGTCTAGATAGAGTTGACATCAATTAATAAGTTGCGCAGCCTCATGTAGCATTGTAACTTAAATTTATTTAGAGAGTATTCTACTGAAATAATATTACCAAAAGCAATTAACACTGATTTTTTATTAGAATATGCATTGTACATAGGAATTTAGGTAGAAATAGGTTGTAGTCAGAAATTTTCCCAAAGGGAAGGGGGAGAGGGGTGTGGTCAAAATTTAGCCCACAGAAAGGTTCTCAAATTTCTAAGCCTTATTTTCCCTCAGAACCTCGAAAAAATTTGTTCGAGGGAGGGGGTGGTTGCCGAGGGCCGGATTTACCTCCTTGCCGCCCATGGGCCGCCCGTATTTTTCCGCCCCCTTCTCATTTGTTTTAAAACATCAAGAGATCGTATTCGACAGTGGTTCGATGTATCGTTTGGTTCAAAACAATAGAACATAATCTCATACAAAAATTTTAGGATTTAATTTGGAAAAGCTGAAAATGAGAAAATTCCTAACAATTTCACTTTTCATTGCCAGCAAGTAAAAATTCAATCACATAAGACCCGTTACCTCAGATTTCTAAATTGACTTTTGAGGCTGTGGTTACATATTGAACCAATCGATATCAATATAATCTCACTCGTGTGATCCGTCGATTACGATCTACAAAAACCATCAAGTGAACGTGTCGGTGGGGGAGGGGTGTATGAGACGGGTTTACTCATGTTGGGTATATTTTTTGTGAAAGCCCTGTCAACACTAACAAAAGTTCAGCTCCATAAACCCATGCCTGTTTGGACAAGGCCTTCCATTTATAAAAAACGAACGAAAAAATGAACGTATTTATACGAAAGGGAACTAAGCGCCAAATTTCCAAATTTCAGTTTTTAACGGATCTGGATTCTCCATGTAATAGGCTGCTCTCACACGTAAATATGCCCCCAAAATACTAATTTCATCCCCTGGAATCAGCCCCTGAAAAATCGCAAAACAGGGAATCAGCGATTACGAATAAAATCAAAAGGAACTATATGTAATTCCCTTTGATTTAATGCGCTAACCCGGATTCCGAATTAAATCAAAAGGCGCTATCTCCACTTGA